GGCCATGCTGAGGCCGTGTCCCACATACAGCAACTAGAAGGATGTGCAGCTATGACATACAACTATCTACTGGGGCTTTGGGGGAAAAAATAAATTAAAAAAAAATGATTTCCTTGGAGAAATGGCTGATTCTAGGGCTGGGGCAGGGAAAAGGTGAGCCTGGAGGTCTGGAGGTGCCAGAGTTAGGAAGTGCTCCAAACACAAAGGATGGCGGTGTGTCAGAGGGACCCAGCAGCCCAAAGTGCTCCAGTGACTAAAGCAGCAACAATTAGGCAATGAAATAAATAACAGAGTATTTGATTATAACCCAAAGTATAAAACACACATCTGTGAGTCCATACTGGTAGAAATAAATTATTGAATAAATAACAAACTGGAGGAGAAGAAACAAATCTTCCTTGCCAAAGAATTCCAAATAATATATGGAGATTCTCCCCCCTCCAGCTTAAATATCCCTTCCCCATGCCTTGAATGTACACTGATCTTAGTGACTTGCTTCTAAACAATAGAGTGGGGAATGGGAAAAATAGTGACTTCACAATGGAGAAACCTGGCAGACACAACCTTGACCAAGTGACTGAGGTTAATGTCACCAGTAGTAGGTCAAGTGGATGTCATGTACCCCCGATACTGTGTGATGAGGAGGGCACTTCACTTCTGTGTTATCTTCCCCCAAACCCATAACCCCAGAGAAGAATGTCAGACAAACCGCAGTTGAAGGACATTCTACAAAATACTTGACCGGGATGCCTCGAAACTGACAGTCACGAAAAGCACAGAAAGACAGACAGTCACAGACCAGAGGACACTAGGAGACATGCCGACTGGGTGCAATGTGGTACCCTGGGGTGGATCCTGGACCAGAGAGAGTGTCCACGGAGGAGCTGGTTCAGTCCAAATAAAGTCTGGACTTCCGTTAACCAAGATGGACCAATGTTGGTGGTGTTAGTTTTGACAGATGACCCTCGGTTTTGTGAGATGATACCATCAGGAGAAACTGAAACTGGGGGAGGGTATACGGGAACTCTCTGTGCTCTCTGCAACTCTCTGTAAATCCAAAATTAATCCCAGAATTAAAAAGTTTATTTAAAAATAAATACAGGGATGGCCCGGTGGCCCGGTTAAGTTCGCGCGTTCCGCTTCGGCGGCGTGGGGTTCGCCGGTTC